GAGTCCTACCGACTGAATAAGAAGAAGAAAGCAGTGTAGCTACTAAGACACGGACACCAAGACCGGGGTTCAATTCCCGGCAGATCTGACGTTCTTATTTGGGCCTGAGGATAGGAAGAAAGTGGTCGAAGGAGACGATCACATTAAGCGGAACACCGTAATTTGTATCCTTAATTATCAGAATATCTCGTATCAAGGACGTTGACATGGTCGGAATACGCAACACAAACCGAGTACTTAAAATGCATAAAGAGCCAACCAGAATAATAGCAAGAGATAACCTGAAAACAGGAGAAGAGTCAGCTGCCGAAACGTGTATGGCAAACACAACTGAAAAATGTAAGACGTTAAAAAGAAACGCCGGTATAATTTTCTAAAAAGGGGTTCTGCTCCATTGATATAACCAGTTAGTAGACATAAACTGAAACCTCACCGTTGCTACTTCAAATCTCCCTTTAGAAAGCAGTCCAATTTTAGAAAAGTTTAACAATTTAATAAATCTATTATAACACAGAATTCAGGGTAATATATTATGTTGGCTGTAATAGAACTCCGGCCTCGGAAATGTAATTGGATGCCTTGCCGTTATTATCGATGTTAGGATATTAAAAGCTGGTCTCCAGCGGTTTGTTGTGCATACCAAATTCCATGAATATCCATCAACTGGTTCGAAGTTAAGAGGAAGGAAGCACATTCATTGATTCTACTTATTGATATACAATAAGGGAAGTAATTCTACACGTCCTAATCCAAGATTAATTGAACAAGTTCCTTACAAATAATCTGCAATGACGAGTTATATGTATTATCAGACGTGGGAGTACGAAACGTTGCATCACTTTCCCTGCTAGCCATACACAAGATCTACTGAAGCTGTGAAGTAGAGGCGTCCAAGGGGGTTTAGATTTCAGTTGTGGTCGTCTTGGTACAGTGGTAGGTGATTACCTATATTTCGGAGGAACATCCTGCCTCCATCTTCAAGGCAACAAGAGTAGCATTATGTAACTTTTGAGGTTTTCACGGCGATGACTATGAAGAAAGTCGTCTTCTCGGTTTTGGCGCCGTGTATTTTTCGTTTTGGCCGATGTTCCTCCGAAACGTCGGCCAAAACGAAGAATACACGGCGCCAACCCAGGAGACGACTTTCTTCAAGAGTAGCATTGTCTAAAGGGGCAAAAGGGGAGGAAGCTCTTTCCCTTGCCTGGAATTTCGCACACAATATATATAATACGTAATCATAAAATTAATCGATGTTAAATTTACATCAATAGCAGTCGACGAAACTTCAATAACTAACAAATATTTTATTGATAACCACTATATGTTTCAGCTTTATATATCATGATCAAGTGACACACTAATCAGAAAATACTCAAGCGGTTAGTCGATGACTTCCCACCGCGGCGACCCGGGTTCGATCCCGGGTCTGATCAACTGGGATTTGTGGTGGACAAAGTGACGCTGGGGCAGGTTTCCTCAGAGTACTTCAGTTTCTCCTGTCAATTTTTATTCCACCAAATTCTCCATCATCATAATCACCCTGGGCAGGTACAATAGGCCAATCAGTCGCCGAAGTGCCGAGTGGATCCAGCTGGACTCCACCCGCCACTACGCGAATTAAAGAAAAGCAGAAACTTGATTGTCAAATTGTCATATTTTCTTTTTTAGACATTCACTGGTGTACGGATTGAGTTTCCATTATGTTTACATTGTTACAAGTATTGTGCGTTTGGACATTATCCATCGTCTTGTCTGTTTCTTAAACCGTTCTATTTCTTTTTTAAAACACGGGGTTTCGGAGACTGGATTCTGTCCCCGTCCTCAGGTAAAACCTACTCAGTTGGGTCCAGCAGATACAGCTAGCCCCTATCTCCCAACGTTTACACGTTTACACTGTGCTATATACACTGGACTCTTTATGATGAGACATATAAATATTTCCAAATGTTTATTATACACTTCTTAGCACTTGATCGTTCACTTTAAGCAGCAACATCCTAACAATAAACGAATAATTAATACCATAATATCACGACTCGAGATTGAAAGGTCCCGCACAAGCAATACTCCATAAATACATCTCAAATGCCATTATATGGAATTAACCCCAGACAACAACTCATGCAACATCTCGTCGGACACCTCATCAGATCACATTATTACTTAAACATTTAAAGATAAATTTAACACCTACACAATTTTGTTATGTTACCTCATTATACCCAGTTTAACATGATTATTCACAGATGTTTAATAACAAGACTATTTAGATCTAATATATTCTATAAATCATGGTGACTAGACACAAGATAGCAATTTCAATTCATCTTCGAATTTAAGTTAATTTTATTTTATATTATTAACCAGTTTATGAATTTAAATCTCGTCATACTGCCTTTATTTGAAAATATTTATACCAGATATCACAAAAATTCCAACATGCATAATACAATGTGAACTTATTTTAAACCTGATTCACATTTTCATAATAGTAAAGTAAGTAAAAGTAAAGGTACCCTGTATCAGGCCATGGAGGTCCATAGGGTTGTGAGACGTTTAGGTTCCCACATTTTCTAGATAATCGGCTCATAGATTGCGGTAAGGTTGTCAGCCTTAAGTGCCGGCCGCCCTTTACCGCCAAGAATATTCCTGGTACTCATTTCTGTTAGAGTCTGAGACGATCCCAGGGCCATAGTGCGGCTGGAAGGATTAGGTCAATTGAAAAAAAACCACTTCATCGGGATCCGCTCCTGCGACCTTCCATATTTTCATACGGTAGGTAAAGCAGATATTATAAAAATTGAACAGGAAAATTTCCGGTTAGTATGTCACCTGATGATGACCAATGCAATGGAAACACATAGTGAATCTCAATAAAACTACTAATCATTGTTGAAGATGAGACGATGATGAAGTAAATTTAATTCTGCAATTACTCAACATAACAGGATGCAGAATCAAAGGTTAACGTACAATTGTTTAATGCTTACGTAGCTCTTACGCCGTTACGGCCAATGACAAGGAAGAAAGTCTACAGAAGCACAAACAATTTGTGCAACGTCATCACAGCAAGACGATCTTTCTCTCTCTGACGGTCCCATTTTCTGTGCAATTCGCCGGGAAAAAAACACGGAAGCTGCGACAACGATGTTAAATCTTTAATTTGCAAGTGATCTGTAGTTTTAGACGGTTTAATAACTCCCTCGCCGTCAAAGGCCTTAAGACTCATATTCTTTTACATTCTATCCTATATTTAGGATAACTATTAATTTTCTCATAAAGTACATAAAATGAATGTATAATGGGAATTATTCAAGTGCATGTTTGTCTTTCCGTGTATTTTACTTACGAATCTATCAAAATATTTCGAATAAATTTAGTATAGGGGATAATATTAAAACTGAGAGCCTTCTTTTGGTCGTTGTTGGTTTACGATGACCCCTACTTTACAATAAGCTCAAACCGAAAAACACTTTTCTTGATCCAACTGCAATGCAAAAAAAAAAAGCATTGCGTAACAATTCCACCTTCTTCGGAAAACCTCAAAACTTGAGGGAAAAGTGCACTAAAATACGTGTTTTATTTTTATGTATTGCGTTTACTCGAAACATTCATAGGTCCGATAAACTCTGGAGAAACGCATGTAAGTCTGTATGCAAAATTTCCATTATTATCGTACAATTTTAACCAAAACTGGGATGATTCAACATAATTTACAGAAAATTTTCAAGATTAAATTTAATAAAAATCAGTTTCCTAGTTCTCCAGTTCTTATACAGGATCAGAGATACACAGCGAAGCCAACAGTAATATTTTCCAAGTTTCCGATTCAACGCGACGAAATTTCGAACTTAACACAAGATAAAGATCTAATCAGTTTGTAGGGCTTGCTCCCATCAGCATCTCCAAGTTCTAAGCGAAAACATTTTCTAAATAATTTGTGTGTGTGTGTGTATAACGTATTACTAGAAAACAAACATAACTTCACGAAGTGTTGCATGTGTAACGGTGATTAGCTTTGCAACAGATGGCAGTAATCTCTGGCATATATACAGAGTGATATCTGAAATCAGCTACCTCTGAAACACTGCATATATAGCAAATGAGCATCGGGGACAATGGGGTGTGCAGAATCTAATGGAAAGCGTTTGTGTCATTCCGCTACGTATCAGAACCTTGTATCAAGATTCAGTCTTGCCTTCGTTTCAACCTCTCAAAACAGTTACGCCACCTAAAAAGCAACCGCTTCGCCTCATATAACAAGTGGCAATGTCACGTTGAAGCGGCACACTTCGATCTGACGATCGAACGAGGCTCTTGCGAGAGACGCGTGGCAGTGTAACCATTACGTCTGGCGTAAGCTACATTTCATTTAAGATTTAATTTTGGTTTAGGAATGCTGTTTCATTGACAGCTGCGAAAAACTAGTCCAACTGCAGCTCCTCACAAATACAGAAATCAATCATTCAACAAAGATCCGCTTTTTACCCGTTCCCTTAACAGAAGTTAAACTTCACTCTTATAACTAGCTTTTCTGTTTTTATTCAGGCAAATACTAAGACATTAACCTAAAATAAACCAGGTAGATCCTTTTCAGATTGTTTCCCAGCTCATAATTAATATTAATCCTACCATTCGATGTTATGTAAAAAATTGTGTTAAAGAAACGTCACTAAATTCAACAAGGAAGAGAAGCTAAGCTGACTGTGATATAGCTACTGTTCGATAATAGCATGAAAGTCTAGAACGCACATAACTGAACATAATTTGACTGAGCAGTTCCGTAACATTCCTTATTGCCTGCAGTAGCATATTCCTGCGACAATATGATTGAATCCTGCCAAGTCCTTGACTACTCACTATTCTATTAACATTCCTACAACTTGATGTCATATGACACTGTAGTTGACACAGAAACAGAAAAGTCAAGAAAAGCGTTTCAATGACGCTAAACGCTTAAGATTAAAGAAACTTTGAACGACAGCATGAACTGGTCCTACCTGATTTGTTCCCAGTTGTGTTGTGGTTCAACGGGGCAAGTTTGCCGTTGGGTTCGCCCCCAGTTCGTTCCCCAACGACTCCTCCGACACCCCCACCACCGCCGGCAGCGAACTTTGCCTGAGCCACGGGAATGGGTCCCGGGTTCGTCATGGTGGTCATCGTGGCTGCAGGCATCATCAGCGTTGACATGGCTAACATTGGGACACCTGCTGACGGGGATCTTGCTCCGAGCGTCACCGGAAGATACGGCAACAGACTTGCTGGCATTCAGCTGCACTCTTCGTCACGAGGCGAATTCGTCTGTCCCTTCTTCGTCTTCGTCCGTCGCTGGCTCAGCTTTCGTTCTATCAGGGACTGCGTCTTCAGTTCGAAAGACGGTCGAACTTTGTGTCGCCCGTTAAACTTCACTTTTACCAAAGACTACGGCGTGAGCCCGAAAACATCCCTCTTTATGTCACTGGTTGAACTTCTTCCAGGTTGTACGGTTTCAGCACGCAAAGTGTTTCGTCTCCGTCTCGACTTCGCTTCAAGTAGGAACTTCCTTCCCGTATCAGAAATTTTCAACGTTTTATGACTCGCCTCTTTTCTACCAGGGACAATGCAGTCAGTTCTGAAAGTGCCTAGTATTCAATGTCCGTTGCAGGTTCAACTTCAGTATTTCTAGTCTGTAGTTCGTAAAATGTTCAACGTTCAAGAATATAAATTTAAACCTTCTCGATGCCCAAAAGTACAATAAAATTACTTTCTAATATGTAGATTTTTAAAAACGATACATAATTTAAGCTTTCTACATAAATATATCACTTTTCACGGATAAAATATATATATATATCTCGAAATATTTACCAAAAATTAAATTCTCATAATTCTGTTTTGATCAGTGTTTCGAGGTTCAGATGAGGTGATACAAATGAACGCGCGAAGGAGATGCCTAGAGGCTGCGTCCTTTGTGTATAAACAGCTAAGAACTGTGATATGACAAGAGATGACTGGGCACAGTCAGTTCCCAAGTAACAACAAACAACATCAACAGCAAAACGAACCGAACACGCACCGGGACGCTGTCCTTTACACGTGTCACTGGATGTCAGGACGCGCACTGCTGGTTGCCTAGTGATTCAACCCCACGGCCACGACGTTGGAGCAGGGTACAAAACGGACAGCCTCCCTTGTAGACGGCTGTCGCGACTCTGACAACGCGTCCCGGAGCGTAGAGGCGCTTGGCGTCCCGGCGCTGCAAAATAGGGGAAGCAGGGGGAGGTTTATTGGCGGGAATAACCGAAGGGATAACGGAAATATCCGAATAAAAGTTGACAGAGGGGGTTTATAAACATGGGGTGGGGGCAAGCAACCTTCAGTCTAGCAAGTGGCTCCAAACAGCCAACATTACTCTTATCCACCATGTTTTCGCTGTTCCTGCATTACTTTCAACTCGGGCAGCTGTTCATATTGGATTAGAGAAACTGTAAGGTGATTATGTAATGACGAGCATGACAATTTGTGCTCTTCAAACAGGACAGATGGGTGGCACATGTAACATTCACGGGAACGGCAAAAACAACATTGAAAAGATCGCTTCAAAAACTACATATAAGTGGGAGAATACTGCCAAAATTGATCTTGAGAGGAACTGGATTTCAGAGAGTGGACTGAGTTCGAGAGGGCGCTTCTGGGAACACAGGAAGGGATCTGGTTCCATGAAAGCGGGAATTTAGTTGACCAGGAGATCTGATAAAATCAAATTTCGTCAAAACCCCCTGCAATTTAGAATTGGTTGATAAAGGTTTCATTAATACTCTAGATCTTAGTAGTCGAGAGGTTCAGGGATCGAGTCACAGTGCAGGGATGGCCTACATTAATGAATTTTCCTTAGTTTCGACAGCCCTCACAAATTAATCACAGATCAGCAAATTCAAATGGGCTAGTAAGGCCCCTTTCCACATCCTTTCCAATGAACCATTCACAATCATCCTACAATTACCTACATAACTGACGGCTATCTAGTAACCAAAGTATAGTTCAGCACACGAGGAAATAAATACAAACTAGAAAAGAATATGCAGTTACTGGGAAAGTTTCTATTGTTCCTTCTTTCTCGTTAAATGTTCGTAAAATTATATGAGTAAAATGTCCTAACTTCTGAAGTTTATAATTTTATACACATACATATGCAGTGACACAGATATAATAATAATAATAATAATAACAATAACAATAATAATAATAATACTCTTCTCCAAGTATAATTAGAATGATCAAGTCAAGAAGGATGAGGTGGGCAGGTCATGTAGCACGAATGGGGGAGACGAGGAATGCGTATAGGACAATGGTGGGAAAGCCAGAAGGAAAGATAACACTACGAAGACCAAGTCGTAGGTTGGTGGACAATATTAAAATCGATCTTAGAGAGACAGGATAGGGTGGTAGGTATTGGATCGATCTGGCTCAGGATAGGGACCAGTGGAGGGCTCTTGTGAACACGGTAATAAATCTTCGGGTTCCGCAAACTGCTGGGAAATTCTTGGGTAGCTACAGAATTGGTGGCTCCTCCAGAAGGGCTCAGCTTCATGAGTAAGTAAATAATAATAATAATAATAATAATAATAATTCAATTTGTGGTAATTTGTGTGCAAACTTAACAACACAGAGGCTAATTACAAAGGTGACACGAGTACATAGAAATACACAAAACAACTAAAAAAATACAAAATAAGATTATATAATGGCAATAATTTAATAATAATTCCAAGAAAAATTAAAGTTAGCATTAACAGTGAGTAAACCAAAANAGGATAGGGTGGTAGGTATTGGATCGATCTGGCTCAGGATAGGGACCAGTGGAGGGCTCTTGTGAACACGGTAATAAATCTTCGGGTTCCGCAAACTGCTGGGAAATTCTTGGGTAGCTACAGAATTGGTGGCTCCTCCAGAAGGGCTCAGCTTCATGAGTAAGTAAATAATAATAATAATAATAATAATAATAATTCAATTTGTGGTAATTTGTGTGCAAACTTAACAACACAGAGGCTAATTACAAAGGTGACACGAGTACATAGAAATACACAAAACAACTAAAAAAATACAAAATAAGATTATATAATGGCAATAATTTAATAATAATTCCAAGAAAAATTAAAGTTAGCATTAACAGTGAGTAAACCAAAAAAGTACATTTCGAATGGTTATTCCATTATGTGGCGAGAAAGGACAATAGTTGCAAAGCATAGTTGCAATGTTTTGTATTACGAATATCTTTGAGGTACTCGATAAAATTAAATTAATGCAAAGATGGTCTCTTGCTGTACCATAAGAATCAAAACCAAGTTCACTTATACACGGCGAAGTTTAGTGCAGAACGCAAATAATAAAATATATTGAAATCTACTCACTAACTTCGGATACGAACACTGTAGGCAGACGGATGAAAACAACCTCCCCACAATGCATTGCGTCATGCACTTTTTGCAAATAACTGTTAATTATTACAAGGAGGAATAATTTCATCGTCCATATAGATCAAACCTCATATACTACATAATCGTATAATTAAACTTCTGATAAAATAACGTACTGTAGTTCTAGAACAATATGAACGTTCGCAGAGACTGCCGCTCTACTTACTGTAGTACTATTGGAAAGGTGGGACTTCTCCCTATATTAAATACTATATAACGCCTCTATGGAAATTCCTGACGAAAGTAAGAGCAGTAAGTGTCAGTGCTTCATATTTACGTGAATGTTTAGAAGATATTTTAACACTAAAATCCGATATAATCCGAACTGACCACTTTTATACAAGAAAATAATTTACCTACATTTTAAATACATCCCACACAAGTCGAAGAAATATTACCAGACATTATGCTTTATTTTGTAGGTTACTTTCGATCTATACATCCATTGACCCATACGCCTTCATGGCTTAGCGCTTAATTAGTTAAGCACAGGGACAATTTACCTTTTATAAGTAAGGTAAAGTTGTCGCTGTACTTAACTAATTAAGCGCTAAGCCATGATGGCGTATGGGTCAGTGGATGTATATGTGTAGATCGACATTTTCTTGACCTCTGAATTAGTTGGAGCTGAGTGGTCAGCTTCACGCCCCGGTCACTTTACCCACGGAGAAAGAGCCCGGGGTATCCATAGGATAGGAGGTTTAGTGGGCCCCAGAGCCGGTCTGGACGACGTGGAGAAGAGAACATTCTTACCCCCACCTGGACCCGAACTCCAGCCCTCCGTCATCCAGCCCGTAGTCAGTCGCTATACCGACTAAGCTATGCCGGATCCCACATCTTACCTTGAACGTTACTTTCAGTATCGGACACATAGAGAGCAAGATGGCGGAATGACACTTGAATCATGATAAGTTGGAAAGCATTTCGAAGGAAGTGGCCGTGGCCTAACCATGGTATTATTCAGGAATTTTATAGGAGTGACTGGAGAAGACCATGAACAACCTGAAGCTGGATAGCGGATGTCGCAGATCAGAACAGAGTACCTACCGAATGCAAGTCTAGAGCGGTATGTCTAGACAACTTGTTCGGTGGTATTTTTTTTACGAAAATTATTATGAATATATGCGTTTATAGTAGACATAATCAAATAATACCAATATAATATTTATTTAAAAAGTGAAATTTTAGTGGTAAGGCGGCTCGAACGTGAAAATGATGACATCGTTATTTAGTACTGCATTCAAGAAGGAATGGAGCCTTATATCGAGGTCACGTATACCACTTCAAGTTGTGGTACAGAGATATCCGTAATTTTATATTTAAATGTTATAATTTTAACCTTCCTGTCCATAACATAAGGATTAGGCCTACATTTTGGTCGGAAATAGATAAAATCAGATGTCGAAGAAAATTAAAATTTTGGGACCCTAGTACACAAAATTTGGTACCCTAGTACCCAAAATTTGGTACCGTGGAGCCGGGTGAGGCCCATTGTAGATTCAGTTTAGTGCACATAACCATATTTTGAAAACATCCATCATAATTATGACTTGAGGCTCGAGTTAATTATTATGAAAAGCTCTACCAGCTCCACACTTTTTGATGTGTGTATGAAGCATATTCATTTGGAAGCGAAATAAATATGTAGTAATTCATCATGTTAATAGAACCACACATACTTTGATGAGTATCACCCTGCCCGCAGCTAAAGTGCTGAAGACGTGAACACACGGCCTGCTGCATAACAGAAACGCACATCAATAGCCTATTGCACTTCCACTTTAGGTGTATACAGTGGCAATATCTTCATGCCGATATTCGCTTAACCGGTCAATTAGTGTCCACGATATCCATGTTTCTAGTAGGATCAGGGGATTGACAGGGCCCCAAGTCTCGAAGATGTATAGTAAAAAAGGAAGTTTTGGGAAGAACTAATCGCTTAATTTCTTTCAATAGGTCACGGAGAACATAAAACAAGACGATTTCAACAATTCTTCTTTGTCGCGGGAACGTGTTTACCGGCTAGTTGCCTAGTAACGATTGTGGGATACACAAAGAGACCCACAAACTTTCCTTTCTTGGGACACGGAACGCATATAAAACGATGCCTCGAACAAGTCTTCTTGTTGCGTGTATTCGTTGCCGCGGGAATGTGTCTACTGAATCATTGCCTAACAACGATAAGAGGGATACACATACAGACACGCAGACTGATGGGAGGAATTTAGAAAATGCTAGTTGAGATGGACCCAGCTGCCATGATATACAGCAAATTTTATAAAGACTAGTTCAAGCATTCAAATGTTGATGGGGCAGGACATACACAGACAGCAAGGTGATCACATAGGCCTACTTTTTCTTTTTAAATTAAGGAAAACCAGCTAAAAGACGCAATAACACTCTGGATTTCAGGCGAATTTAATTTGGTATACACTCTCAAATCAGAAGCCGGGATAGATCAGTCGGTATAGCAACGACCTACGAGTTGGACGGCCGCGCTTCAATTACCGGAAGCAGTAAGAGATTTTTCTGTTCTCAACAACGTCCAAATCGGCTCTGGGGCTCACTCAGTCTCTTAAACAATGGGTACAGAGGACGCATTCTTAGGGGATAAAGCGGCCAGGGAGTGAAGCCAATATCACGAATGTTTCAGCTATAATTCAACTCTCCCATACGTTTTCGTAGCGTAGTGTTTAATTACTTAAAAATTAACTTTTACCTCTAGAATTCT